GCCTCTTGATAGATCTATCTGCAAGATGCAGAATAAGATTGGTCTCCTTCAAAGTGTTGATTCCCAAAGCTCTACATACTGTCAACGGCATCAAGTTTATACTGGCTCCCAAATCGCACAATGCCTTTCCCACCTCCACATCTCCTATAGCAATAGAGATACTGAAGCTTCCAGGATCTTTCATTTTTGTTGGAAGCTTCTTCTGGATTAGGGCACTACACTCTGCTGTTAGGGCCACTGTCTCACCATCAGTTAATTTCCTCTTCTTAGTAAGAAGATCCTTCATGAACTTTGCATAGTGAGGCATATTTTCCAGTGCTTCAGAAAATGGTATGTTAATTTGTAAATTTTTGAAGATATCCAGAAATCTTGCATAGTGCTGTTTCTGAATCTCTTGCTTCAACCTTTGAGGGTAGGGAACTCTAGCATAGGGAGATAAAATAACTGGCTGTTCTTTCTTGTCAGCCATCTTCTTCTTTTCCCACTTCATCATCTTTTGTGGGGAAGCATTTTTACCAACTTCTACCTCTCCTTCATTCTTATTGTCCTTCCCTTCCTCTTCTTTCTCAATTCCAACTATAACATCTCTAACAACTACTTCCTTCTCACTTTTCTCATTTCTCATCTTCTCTACTTCATCATCAGAGACTACATCTTCAACCACAACCTCTTTTTCATTCTTTTTATTTCCACATTATTTTTCACTGGTTGAAGTACCAACCCACTTCTTGTCATAATTGCTTTACAGTTCTCCTTAGGATTCACTAATGTATCACCTGGAAATTTCCCTTGTGGTCTCTCTGATATCTGTCTTGATAATTGACCAATCTGGGTCTCCAAATTTCTGATTGATGCTTCCTGATTTCTGAAAGAAGTTCTGGTCTCCTGCATGAATGCAGTTGTCTCTTCCCTGAATGAATTAGACGCCTGGATATAATCCTGAGTTGTCTTAGATAACTGAGCAAACGCTTTCTCCCATGCAGCAGGATCACTTGACTGTTCCTTCATATGTGGTGGTGGAGGATGTAATGGTGGGTTCAATTGATGGTTGGAACTATAGCTGAATCCTGGGTGTTGATTCTTGTTCTTCTATGGTGGCACATAAACATTCCTTCCCTGATTGTTGTAGTTCCTTTGATTATTCTGATCATACCATACTCCATTCACCTCTGCTTGTTCTGGTGATCTCCCATAATCACACTCCTCTGTCACATGGCCTTTGCCATAGATAGCACATACACTCTTGGTTTCCACATAAGCTACTTTTTGTGAAGAGAGTTGCTTAATAAGGATATCCAACTGTTGCTGCTGTTGTCTCTGTGTCTGCATTAGCTGATCATTCCTTGCCAACAGAGCATCATGCCCATCCAACCTGATGATTCCTGTCCTTCTGTCAGCCACTGGGGCATTATCAAATTCCTGAGATGCCAATGACTCAAAGATATCCAAGGCTTCTTGAGGAGTCTTGGTAGTCAATGATCCACCAGCAGTGGCATGCACCAAGGTTCTAGTGTTAGTGGTCATTCCTTGCAGGAAGATTGCTGCTTGTTGGCATGCCTCAATTCCATGCTGTGGACATTTCCTCAACAAAGTCTTGAATCTCTCCCAAGCCTCATAAATGGATTCTGACTCTTTCTGCTTAAAGCTTGTAATCTCATCCTTCAACTTGGCCCTCTTGGATGCTGAGAAAAACCTCTGCAAGAACTTGGTTTGCAGATCATCCCAAGTTGTTATACTTCCTTGTAGCAATGATTGCAGCCATCTCCTTGCATCATCCGTCAGTGAATGAGTGAATAGTCTCAACAGAATTGCATCTCTTGTGACACCATTTATCTTCACAGTATCACTCAACAACAGAAAGTTCTCTATGTGCAAGTAAGGGTCCTCTGCACTGGTTCCAGCAAACTGATCTTTCTGTACCAAATGTATCAATGCAGGTTTCAATTCGTAGTTGTTTGGCTCCACTGTTGGGCGCACAACACTCCCAATTGGAGGAATCACTGCAGGAGTCATGTACTCTCCCAGTGTCCTCTGTGGTGGTGGTGGTGGTGGTCTGTGATTCTCTGCCATTATCTCTTCCTGATTAACCGTACTGGATTCACCAATTTCTTGCAACTGTCTCCTTTGCCTGGCTGCCCTTTTGTGCTTCCTCAATGTCCTTTCTAATTCTGGATCATACAACAACAAATTCGGATCAAGTGTACCTCGCATATACCAGAATCAAAATTGACCAGAAACTTAACATAAACTAAAATACTGAAAATAAAAGGATTCAATCTCAGAATTCTATGGTATCAGTTAGTGTTGAAAAACAAATTCCCCGGCAACGGCGCCAAAAACTTGTTGGACGTTTAGCAAGTGCACTAGTCGTACAAGTAATAAAATGATGAGTAAAGATCGTTCCCACGAGGAATTGTGTTCAAGCACCAATAAACCATAGAAAACTAATTTGAATCGATAAGAATTTGTAAAAGTCATGAATAATTTGTCACCAGAAAATTGATTGTAAGTAATTTGACACAAAATAAATATGGATTAAGAATTAATAAAACAACAAGTAGTCAGAAAACAACTTTCCTCCATAATAACCCATGTAAAAACTAATCATATGATGAATTCTTTTCCATGTGATGTTAATCAACCTTTTACTTATCATCAAGATGTAATCCTTTACTACCCTGATAGATACATTAATCAGAAACCTCAATCCCTTGGTGATCTCTTTCTTAATACATTCATGAAATACTAAAGTCTTAAGATTACATCAGAACTCTAGCATCAATCCCTTGAGTACTAGAATTCTGATGTTGAGATTATCAGATACAGAAGTCATATAAACATCCCTGTTCTACACTACTTCCTTGATAGAAATAATTAAATCAGAAAATCCCAAATCAACACATGAAAAATACTTCATCATATTAATCAGATCAACATAATATTATCATGAAGTTCTATTGCATTCAGACTACAAAGACTCTACTCAGACATGACTAAGGAATAGACAAGAAAAGAAGAATCAAACTTCATTTCCATGTTGAAGGTCTTCAATCTCCAAACTATTACAAAGAAATCCTAATACAAAAACTAAAACACTAAGAGAATTTAGAGAGAAGTCAGACTAAAGTTTAAGAGAGAGAGAGAAAATTCCAGATCCTTTACTAAGTGTGAAGGCTTTTCCTTTTATAGTGTTACAATTAAAAACAGAAAACTGATGTGGGCGCTAAAACGTCCATAAGTGACCGTTTTAGCGTCCATGCTTTACGTATGCTCAACTGCTTTTAACTGACAAAAACGCTAAAACGTTAAGGAATGACCGTTTTAGCGTCCAAACATGGTGGATGCTCAACTGACTGTAACTGACTCCAACGCTAAAACTCTTGATTTGGACGTTTTAGCGGTGGAGACCAGAGTCCTTTTTCCACTTCAGGGCGCTAAAACGCTTATTGCAGGCCGTTTTAGCGCCCAAGACCAGCAATTTTCCATCTTCTAAGTGCAGCAGCGCGCTAAAACGCTCTGTGTGGGCGTTTTAGCGCTCATCACCAGCAAGTTTTGGCCTCTTCATGTAGCAGGGCGCTAAAACGCTCAGTGTGGACGTTTTAGCGCTCAACACTTAGGCAATTTTTCTCCTCTTGAGCTCCAGAATCTTCTTCCTTCTCTAGTTGCCTTTCAAGCTTGCTTTTCCTACAAGAATCATACAAATTTCCAATAAAGCTCTTGAACTTGTAATTGAAGATATCTTAGGACATTAACCTTGTTTTTCATCATTTAACCTGTCTCCGAGGGGGTAGACCTGCCGGCAACTCCTACGGCAAAAGAAAAGCGAACTCTTCCTTCCTTAAGCAGCGCTATGCTTCATCCATCCTTAAGGTCAACGGTTCTAGCCTCCTGAACCGTCATAATGGACTTATAAAAAGCCTCTTCTGCCATTTTTACCGATTTGACTATTTGGGTCGTTTTACTCATTTCTTTGATTACCAGGGCGACTGCCCGCTCTACCACGTGCATAAACTAATTATCTCATTATAGGCCACACAATTTGATCCTAATTCCTGCTAAAAACCATGATGAACTAAGGGTTCATCAGCTAGACATCTCTGTCTCTAAGACAAAACATTGGCACCGTCTGTGGGGATCGACATATTTGATATTCCCATGATTTTGACTAAAAGATGGCAGTCCGTATGAGGAGTAACAGCCAACAACCACAGCCTCCCAATCACTCATTGGATCCGATTTTGGAAGAGGTGAATCAACCTCAGAATCAGCCATAAAACCAGGTGGATTACGATGTAGTCCATGTCATTGACAATATCTCAGACACCGCCTCTACTCCAGCTCCACGCAACGGGGTTGCGGACCCAACTCTTCCTCTGAATCCAGCAGATGCGGCTGCCCGCATTGCGCTGGCAGCACATCCTGATTCTCGCCTTGTCGAGAATGCATTCGCCGCGATTATACGGCGAATAGAGGATATGGAGAATCGCAACAACATCCACGGCGAGGAGATTTCAAGAGAATTCAGGAGAAAAACACAAGGAGGATGCAAGATATGGAGCAACGCTTACTGGAGCTGAGGGGACTATGATCTGAAAGAGTTTAGGTCTGAAATGGTGATGGTCAGAATAGCGATCATAACCCGGATAATCAAATCCGGGTTAGGGAAACTGAGATCCAGGGAAGCCAAAATGTTAGAGCTGCTGTGGATCCAAATCTGGGAGGACCTGGAACTAACAACCAGAATGCGAATAGGCAACCTCCTGCCCAAAATGCTACAGCGGGAGGAAATATGCAGAGAAATAGGGATGAGATTCATCTTAACCGAGATGCTCAACCTGTCAGAGGACGTATTGAGCCCGGTGTTTACAGGAGAAAGTATAGTAGGGGGCATTACAATAACAGCCCATTTACTGGTGAGATATTAAATGCCCCATTCCCAGAGGAATTTGACTCAGCACGCTTGAAGTGAGGACCCTCAGGTTCACATAGATGCATTCGACATGGACATGTATATCCGAGGAATTGATGAGCCAATCATATCTCGGATATTTGCTACAACCTTAACTGGAGCTGCACAGTCATGGTTTTCTACCCTGCCTGCTAATTCCATTGGATCTTTCAAAGAATTAGGAGAAAAGTTCTTGCTGAGCTTTGCAACCAGCAAAAAGCATCTGAAGTCCGAGTTTGCACTCGGAAAGATACGACAGTAACCCGGAGAAACACTCTACAAGTACTTGAACCGATTTAAAGATGTGGCGTTGCAAGTACTGGGTTTGCAGAAAAACGTCCATGTGTATCTAATTGTAGCCGGGTTGGATGGGTCATCCAGGCTGGCAAAGTCAGTCTATAAAGATCCTCTAAGGATGCTAGAGGAGTTCAAAACTCGGTCAAAGAAGTATCTGAAACTCGAACAAATGGAGATAGCAAATGCGCAGGGTGAAGAGAACAAGAGGACAAGTCCAAAAAGGAGAAGCTCGGCCCCAAGAGAAAAAGAACGACTCGAAAATAAAAAGAAAGATTGTCGTGGGAGAATCACAGATGATAAATATCGGGTTGGAAGATATGAAAAGTACACCCCGCTAAATGTGTCGCACTCTCAAATATGGAGGGAAGTGGCAATGACAGACATGAAGAAAGCAGAAAGACCCCGACCCATATTTGACAGAGGAGGAATGGATAGGTCCAAGTTCTGTGCTTTCCACAATGGACCAGGACATACCACTGATCAATGTTGGGATCTCAGAGACGCTGTGAAAAAGTTTGTCAGAGAAGGAGAGCTGCGTCAATATGTCATCAAGACGCTGGGACTGAAAAACAACAAGAGAAAACCCGGGGGTCGGAATCGAAGCAAGAGCCCAGTTCCTGAAAAGAAAAAGAAGGAAGATAAAAATCAAAAGGATGATTCCAACAATGATGAATTCCCAGAGGCCGAGTTCAATTGCAATGTGATTAGTGGAGCCCTTAGAGGAGGGGAAGATACAGTAAGTGCAAGGCGGAAGTACCTTAGAGAAGTGCTTTCAATCAGAGATCGTCCGAGGTTTAAAGAGGATCCCAGTAAGCCAGATCCTCCTTTACTCTACTTTACTAAAGAAGACATGCAAGGTGTGCTACCTGGGCATGTGGATGGTCTAGTAATCACTGAAACCTTGGTTAGTTGCCGGGTTAAAAAAATTTTTATAGATGCAGACAATTGGACTGATATCATCCTATGAGAGGAGTTCAAAACGATGAACCTGGATGCAGAAAATCCCAAGCCTTGCAAAATAACCCTGATAGCTTTTAATGGAGAAAATACACCTCCCAAGGGCTATATTGATCTCAGGTTGACCCTGGGAACCAAGGAGGCGTTCAAATCGGAGAAAGTAAAGTTTATTGTGGCCGACTTCCCTTCTCCATACAATATCATCCTTGGAAGACCAACCCTACATAAATGGGACATGCTGATTTCCACAAAGCATCAAAAGATAAAGATGGTAAGCAACAAGAATGAAATCATCACTATTCATAGGGATCAAAAAGAATCAAGAGAGTGTTACTTTGAAGCTGTTAAGGGAAATGAAGGGGGACACCTGAGCCCACCCCGGATTCGTCAAGGAGACAAAGTCGGGAAAAAGGTAACCCCTCACCGTTCAAATAAACCAGTTAATATGGTTGAATTGGATATGAGGGAAGAAGTCGTACTCCCTAGACCAGAACCAGATGGTGCACTGGAAGACCTTATGTTGGGAGACAAACCCGGTCAGTTTACCAAAATAAAATAAGAACCCAGTTATGTTGGAATACCTTATGTTCGTAGTGTAAGAAATTGCACTGCTAGATAATTAATAAAATAAGATTATCGATCCCGGAGCATGTATTTGATTAATATTATGCATAATTATGATAGGATAATTATTTAGAAAGTCAAATAACGCTTACACCGTTTTTCTGATGAAAAGTGCGAATATCGGTTCTACTTCACGGTATAAATGTGTACCAGTGAAGTATCCCGAAAAATTGTAACAAAAATATAAATATTCCTATAAAAATATCTAGGTCAAGGATATCAAGTTTGGAGTACGAATAATGAGTTGTGATGTCAGAACTAATACCGGCTACGTATAAAACGCGTACCGACAATATACTGCGAAAAATTATAATAAAAATATGATAATTCCTAAAAAAATGTCTAGGTTAAGAATATTAAGTTTGAAAGAAAAATAATTAACAGAGCACTTATAACTAATACCAGCATATTAGTGGTTAGTGTTTTAAGTGACCTCGACTCATTTATTTTCTTCATTCTTCAGATTCTCTATATAGGAAACATTTCAAAAACCCTAGAAGTATTCTCTCTTCTCTTCCTCTCTAAATGAGCTTGAGATCCTCCATGGAAACCAAGCAAGATTTCACCTTTGTTCATCTCCTCTCACTTTGATTATCCCAAACACTTGGAAGCAAGCATCTTGTAGGATAAAAACCCATTCTTGAAAGGTTCAAGCTGCTGCCTTGTGAGGTTAGAGAACTATTCTTCTTTGTTGAGTGAATTGGAGGCTTTTATACCACCATTGGAGCACCAGGGAGTAACCTTTGAAAAGAAAGAATCATCCTTTGACAAGCCATTTTCGTGCATTGGTTTTGGTAGCAGTGGAAAGTGGATTGTAGACCATGAAGTCCCTTCCTTTTGCTATCTTGAAGCTCATGGATATATGCCTCAACACTTCCCTTTGTGTTTTCATGAAAATAACATGATTTGAAGATGTAAAATTATGATTTTTTATAATTTGAACGTTGGTTGATGAATCTAAGTGTTAAAATGCATGCTAAGTCGATGGGATAGATGTATCTAGGTAAAAGATGGTATTTTAATGGATAATTTTGTGCTAGGCTGCTGTGTTTGGCCACTGTCATGAAATATCCGGATATGATATCCGGTTATGGAATATCGGGATATGATATCTGGATCTGTGCGACGGCAGCGAACTTATTTTAGTAAAAATTTGATATTTGGAGATATAGAGCTCCAAATCAAGTTCTGTTTGGACCTATGTGTAGCTAACACATAGAGCTACAACTCTGTAAAATTTTGTAGCCATTGGATAAGTGGTTTGATCTCAATGTTAGTTTGAAGTCACGACTTCGTTGCTGGAAATTCAGTTTGCAGCAGTCACTTTGCGAAAATCATAACCGGAGTTATACAACTTCGATTGAGACATAAAATATATCATTGGAAAGCTTAGGTTGTCTAGTTTAACATATTAAAATATCACAATATTTGGTAAAGAGTTGCAATTGCAGTTTTTAAAATGGTCAGCAAAGTTTGTTGTCGTATTCTTAAATAGAGTTGATTTTTTTGGAATGTTCTTCAAGGAAATGAATTATAGACTCTATTGTACATGTAAGTGATGTTCTAAGGTTAAGGGACCTTAGAGAGTGGACTTAGTTCCTCCCACCTTGAGTTGGTGTCACTACGTAAAGAATGATTACGTAAAAAATAATATGTAAAAGAATGTCATAAACGAGGATATTTATTAATTGCCTTTATATCTTGAAATAGGTTGTGATTTTGTGAGGGCCTATAACTATGGTCCTTTTGATACTGAGAGTTCATTGGAGCATGTTATAGATAAGGTAAGCTTCTGGTCCTCGGATTGATCTGTTGCTTGTTCCATCGACCTCCATGGGGGGGTGGTTTATGTGCATGATATGCTTTTATGAAAATGATATATGCATTGATATATGCCTGAGATATGTGGATATGTCTATTGATTACTTACACAATCAGGCTGCGACCCTTATGTTTAATGTAATGTATGGATGTGATGTTGACTACTTATATGATCAGGCTGTAACCCTGGTGTGTAAGGCATAAGGCTGCGACCCTTATGTTAGGTAGGTCGCATACGTGTGTAATTCCTATCTTGTTCTCTGGCCAGTTGAACCACACTTACATACATCACATGAGATATGAACTGTGGTATATGATTTTATGAGAATTTAGATATATTATCTCGATTATATTGCTTTGACATGAACATGCATCGTATTTAGTGTTTTGAACTCATTATATACTTGTAAGTGAGTTTAAGGCGAAAGAGTCCTTGAGGACCCTTTGTCTTACTGAGATTTCTTGTTAGAAATCTCACCCCGTGTGGGGCATATTTTTTAGGTACTGAGATTGTTGATGTTGGTGCATCTCGAGGCAAAAGGCCGGAGTCGAGTTGTTGGCATGATATGCATGCATTATGTTTATGAAGTATTTTGTAGCTGAGGCATGCTTAATATTGACATTATTTATTATGTGCATCTGATGTGAGCATATCGATTGTTTATGCCATATTGTAATATGCTTGATGTATTGTTGTTGGGGATTATGTATTAATCATGTTGGTCCTTATTTTTGTAATATGACTTGCATGTGCGATGGCCTAAGTAAAGGATTGTTAGGTGTCACCATTCATGCATATAATAGTTGTTTAAAACCATGAAATACGACAAATTAGATGCTTAGAAAGATATGAAATAGCTTAATTAAACCGATTATATGATGACATGTCTTAGGTAAGGACAACTAAGCATAAGATGAAGTAATATGGGGTAAGGAAGTTGAATGCTAAACCCCAACCTGTAGAGAAAGATATTCCATTTCGCCACTGTCATGGAATATCCGGATATGGGTGATCTAATATCCGGATATGACATATTTGGATATGTTCCCGACAAATATCCGGATATTCTGGACGAACAGAAGAAAAAATGAACGTTTAAAAAGAAAGACTTGTGACCTTATGGAACTTAATTATGTAAGGCTTAAATCAACCTCTAAGGAGTGTGGTGCCTTTCTAAATGTTAATAAAAAGGCAAGTAGCTATAATAAATAATTTAGATGTGAACGGATGTCTTAGGGTGTGTCTTTATTACTATGTCATGGTTGAATAGATAATAGAAGAATGTGGTAAGATGGTCATGAAACGAATAATTAATTATGTTGATGGTTAAGTATGACAATAAAGTAATTAGTGGATAACTTTGATATCAACGGACATTACAAGTAAATAATTAACAATGATTATGATAGTAGGTAAGTGTAAGATTAATCATGCAAATTGTAACACGAAGGATAAAGGAAAAAGTTTATCCGTATTTTTCACTTATTAATTCTAACGTTAATTCTGCTGCAAGTAATTAATATTAAGTTGCGCTCAATACCATTCTGATGTTAATTGTAACACCCCAAAATTCTAACAATTTATGAAACATTATTATAATAAAGAAATTGCCAAAATTCATGTTTTATTTATTTATGATCATAGAAATATTGCGGAAGCCAAACTAAAACTAATTTGGGAAAATGTTACCGCCGCACCTGTACATGGACAAGTGCAAGGCTAACTCTATAAGATTCATAAATATTAAAATAAAATCAGAGACTTTGTTTTATACATAAAATTTAGAACTAGCTGGAAATTCTCTGAGTCATTATCCTCACTGCTCACTGCTAGCCCCATCTTTTGCAACCTGTATCACTGAAAATCTGCTCCCCAAAAGGATCATTGCAGTCAAACAAACACAAAAGTCAGCAAAGCTGGTAATCCTAATCAAAAACACAATTTACATAATTCAAATATAGTAATCAAATTAAATATATAATTTCATAATAATTGAATCAAATATCAACTTCATCATATATATAAAATATTCTCATCATAATCAGATCAAATATCAACTTCAATATTCATCATATAGATTCTCATCACAATCACATCAAATTATCAACTTCAATATATATTCAATCGAATCAAATATTATTATTCATAATCTTTATTAAGTTTATTTAGTGTATGTAGTGGGAAGAGAACCATGCTAGACCCGGGAAACCCTGTTGCCAGTCTACCCCGTGACCCGGGAAACCCTCTTGCCAGCCATGTATAATCAAAATTGGCCATTATCAAAATATCAAATCCTAGTGTGCACACATCTTCCCAAAGTTGCTACTAGTATCCCGGGAAACCCTGTTGTCAGATACCACTTTGGGAAGAACGGAAACATCATTGTTACATCAAATAAATATCAAAGGCATAAAGCCCAAAGGTTGTGTTCATCACTTTCAGGAGGTACCATCCCAAAAGTTATCTTCCCACTATTATTTATTACAATCAATTCAATCTTGTCACGATTCTCATAATTGTCAAATAGTTTTCATGATTTCGACATCAGTTTAATCAAGAGTATA